CCCCACCACCACACGCGCACCTCAAACACCCTCCCCCCCTCCCACCGCCACAACACTTGCACCTCAAATGCCATGGAGCCAGAGTCGTCGCAGTAGAGCACCACATCGTACAGCGCCAGCGCGGAAAAGTCCAACGCCAGCTCCAGCGGCATGCGCCACCTGCATACATGTGGCGCATGCAACACCGCGTAAAATCAGCACATGGTCAACCCAGCTGGGAACCCACATGCAACGGTGTGCCCCATGTATGAAAAACACCATGGCCCCATGCATGTGGGCCACAGGCACGCCAGACACAAAGGAGCACTAACAGTCAACATCTTGAGTCCCAATATGTGCCGGCGTTGGCCTCGCGCATGCAGCAAAGACCGCTTCGTAGGCATGACGGCAGCAGCTGACTGCCCCTGTGCTTGGGCAAAGGCGCTTCGCCCCGCACAGCGCAGCGCACCTAGCCGCCAAGCCGCTGAAGTCAATGGCCGCCACTCGCTGTGCGACTGCCTGCAGCTGCTGCGGCGGGTAAAAATGCTGCAGACCGTTCACCTGCAGTGTATAGGCGGCGTGCGTTTGGGGCTTGAGAAGCATGCATTATGGAAGTGGGGCTGGCAGCCGCGCCCCGTCAGCAGACATATGGACTCAAGCACAAATACTACTGGCGTGGTTAACGGCCGCACCAGCAACACAACAATGAATCACACGAGCAGAGACAACTGCTCTCCAAGATACGGCATGCACACAACCCTTGTACAATGCATGGATGCAGGAAACAGGACTGCAAATGCCTGCCTCCTGAGAAACGCACCTGCACAATCCGCTGCAGGCGCGCCAGGATGCCCTGGGCGGCCTGCGCACCGCCCGGGCGCGCGAAGGGCGCGGGCATGGCGGCGTAGGCAGCATATGGCGCCTGCTGCCCCGCCCCCTGTTGCCCCGGCACAGCTGGGTACCTGGGCTGCTGCTGCTGCTGCTGAGGTGGATATGGCGTGTAACCACGTTGCTGCTGCTGCTGCAAGACCGCGTGGGACGACCCATTCGCGTAAAGGTCCGCGCCGCCGGACGGTGGGTAGCTGCCGTGCTCATGCTGAGGCATCAGCGGAGCGCTCGGCGACGGGCCAGGCCCCGCAGGCGCCATGCCGCACGCTGCTGCCAGCTTGGTGGCTAGCCCCATAAGCATGGATACAGATGTAAGGAAGCACGCGCCCCTTCCCGACCCAGACTCGGCAAACGCAAGTTACGAGCAGCGTTGTCGCGGGAGAATGGAGGATATACACTTGCTAAGGAGCACGCTGAACGAGCTACAGAAAGGTATTATCGCGAGCTATCATGAGACGCGCTTGGATCAGGCGTGTGGGCGCCTGGAGACAGGGTGTCACCATCGACTCACCGCGGAAGGGCTGGGCAGCTGCAGGCCCCACAGCCGCGCATGCCAGCAGACGTGCGCAACAACAGGGGCAAGCGCTCTCTCCACATGTGATTGTACAGTCTGCATGTACATGGTCACTCGCATGCGCAAATTTCCATTGCTACGCATGCATGCAAACCACAACCACCTAGCTGCCAACCACTGCAGCACCGTCCTCATGTGCAGCCTCGACACCGTCGACGCAGCATGTTGTCCTGCCTGGCAGGCCCTTAGGGTTTCGCACAGCTGGGACCACAGCGGATACAATGTGTGAGCGCGGGTGCAAACAGTGCAGCTGGCTGAGCTCCACCTGGACTGCGCCAGGTGGCGTCAAGACAGGGTGACATGTGCGAAGGCAGCTGCCCCAGCAGGGAGCCCAGAGATGAGTTACACTCGCCCCGCTCAAATGTGCAGGTGTGCGTGACAGTTCGCAGGGTTGTGTTGCATGACAGGCCCCTGGTATGCGGGGGCGGAGAAAGAAAAGAGACGCAAGGTGATCAAACAAGTGTATGTACCAGTACCAAAAGCATGTATGCACAAGTAGTTCAAGGAGGCAAGTGCCGATCATTTTCATCGCTGCTGCTGCTGCTGATGATGCTGTTTTCTAGCTTCCAACGCCTAGGGGTGCGCGGGCCTCAGATGGCTGGGACGCGATTGCGGTATCTCCTGCACAGCTCCAGCCGGGGGTCCGCCGGCTGCTGCTGCTGCTGCGCCTGCGGGTCCTGCGGCTCCCCCGCTTCGGGGCGCCGGCCCAGGCGCTGCTTGTAGTGGTCATACGCCATGAGGCCCTGCGGACAAGACGCGGTGGAGGAGGGGTCGTCATTGCTGATGGAGAATGGAGGAATGTATGATCAGGAGTGCGGCTTGCAAGGCAGGCGGCGCAGGGGGCAGGGCTTCAGACGGGAGCGGCTCCAGTGCATGCTCAGACTGCTGAGCAGCGCGCGTAGACTGCAGGCTTGCAGAGTTGCGCGCGCGCGCGGCCGCCGACCTTGCGCATGCTCCGGTAGCTGCCGCGGTGGCGGTCGCTCTCCCCTCCGGCCAGCGGCGACGGCGGGGCGCCCATCAGGCTGCCCTGGTCGCTGCCGCCCTGCCGCGACACGTCGCCGCTGCTGAGCGGCGGCGCCACGCCCTCCAGCACCGCGGGCATCGAGCCGGCCAGGGCGAGGCCGCCGCCGCTGCCGGGCGTGTTGGGCAGGCTGCCGCCGGGCGCGTATGCACCGATACCGCCGCTGCCGGAGCCGTAGTAACTGGGGGAATAGAGAGGTGCCGGCGCCGGGTCGTGGACCTCTGCCCACTCACTGAGCGTGCCGCCGACAGGCAGGCTGGCCGAGAGGCTGTGGTGGTGCCGCGCCGCGCCCCCGCCGCCGCCGCCACCCGCACGCACGAGGGCGCCACCGCGCAACGCGGGCGCCGGCTCGAGCGCGCCGCTGGGCACGGTGGTGCTGCCGCTGCTGCTGCTGCGCTGCCAGGGGCTGGGGGCGCTGCCGCTGAGGCCCGCGGGGGAAGGTGTGGGGGTAGCGTCCATGCAGCCCGCCGAGGCGGCTGGGATGCTTTCCTCCCAGTGCTGCTGCTGCTGCTGCTGCTGCTGCTGCTGCTGCTGCCGCTGCGGCTGCTGCTGTGGCAGCACCGGCAGCACGTGCTGCTGCTCAGCTGGGGACGGCGCCACTCCCACTTCATACCCTGCACGGCTACCCTCATGCCCCTCAATTGTCCGCCACCGCCCGCCATCCGGCGCGGACGCGAGCGCCCGCTGCTGCTGCTGCTGCTGCTGCTGCTGCTGCTGCTGCCCCGCGGCCCACGCAAGAGCCGCGGCCCCGGGCGCCCCGCCGGTGACGTGCGCCACGCGCGGCGGCAGCAGCCTTGGGCTGTCGGCCGGCACCGGCAGGGACACAGACTCCTGGCTGCTGGTGGGCGTGTGGCGCGGCGCGGCAGACGAGCCGCCGGCGCTCCCCGCAGGGGTGGCACGGTGCGCGGCGCGCGACGCAGCGACCGCTGCGCCGAAGCTGGTGGCGCCGCCATCAAGGGGCACCTTGCCCAATAGTATGTCGCGAGCCGAGCCAGCGCTGCCGCCCGGCGCGTGGCGCGGCTGCGCCGGGTGGGGCGCCGCCAGCGCGAGCGCGGCCGCCTCGGCCGCGCCCAGCGGCGAGGCCGCCAGCAGCCACGGCGCGTCGCCAGCGGCCGCGGGGTGGCCGTGCTGCTGGGCGGCAGAGCGCGGGCTGTTGCTGCTGCTGGCGCCGCCCGCGCCGCCGCCGTCGCCGCTGCCGCCGCCGCCGCCGTGCTGCGCGCGGTACGAGGGACGCCCCAGGATGCCGGCCGCTGCGCTGGCTGGGCAGCCAGGGACGTGGTCGCTGTCAGACCTCGCCATGAGATCGCGCCGCAGAGCCACAGCGCGCGCCGACGGGCTGCCGCTCGCCGCAGCGGCGGCGGGCGCGCCGCCGTCGGCCGCGCCCCGGTCCGCGGCCGCCGGCAC